TACATTTTATTATCGATATAGTTAGATACCACCTTCATGATTATGGATCTGTGAGTGAATTGTTTTCTAACGCGACCCTTTATATTTATATTAGGTCTTAAAGTTTGTGCATACATTAGGGCGTGGTCACTTTGATTGACAGATACGTGCCTCACTGTCAGCTAACAGCAACTTGTCCAATCTGCTAGGCTACAACCAGAGCCATATAATAGAAGAGTTACGACAACGGAAGTCCAAAAACGGTTATCGTCACGTGGTTCATGTAGAAGAGGATCGTTCCCCGGAAGTTCATGGCGGGCAATGTGAATGCATTGATAACAGGAGATAGAACTACGATTTTTGGTAATTATTAGTGAATAAAGGTTTTTATTTGCAATATTTATACAACAAATCGATATGTGTATGTATTTACATCAATATGTTTTAAAAAATCAAATAGAATTTGCTAATATTAAGTGATAATATTAGGATTAGTGTGAACAACTAGTTTACATGTTAGGCTAACAGTGCCTTGGTTAAAGAGCCTGTTGCTGTTTATTTATAGCTTTGAATTCTTTAAAACCAATATTATCTTCTTAAACTTGTATGGTAGTCAGGAGCATCACTTTCTAATGTTTATTGATATATTTAGAGGGAGGGGATCTAAAGTAATGCTTTAAAATTCAGATTAGATTAATGTCTACCATTTTCTTAAATTCATGGTAGTTTCAGTAATCCCATGGTAATTGAGGACACAAGTTATCTAAATGACTAATGTCATCTTTATGGCTTTCAGAAAGGACAGGAGACCGACAGGTCAAAGGACTAGCAGCAGCAGCAGCAGCATGATGATGATGTTAAATGTGTTGTTTTAGGAACATCCATTGCAAATACATGGAATTCAATAAACATTGAATAGCATATCATGCAGTTTGTCTGTGCCTTTTCCTCCGTGTTGTCCTGGTTTGCTGTGCTGCCTCCTAGTCGCCACCATGGTTTGCTGTGCTGCCTGGGGATGCTCAAATCGCTCAGAGAAAGGAGTACGAATGTACAGCTTCCCCACTGACACAAAGCGGAGGGAAGCAGGAGCAATTTCACGACCAACAGCAAAACAATATGTGATTTATATACAAACACTGCATTTGCACTTTTTCACAAAACGAAAACCACACCATTGGGAAAGCTTAATGTTTTGTTTAATACAAAAAACAGGGAAAGGCTTGAAAAACACTGGGAGTTGAGACTCAGGGTGCAGGGTGAGGGTCTCAGTGCAGGTATTCAGGCTCCATTGAATCCCCCTCTGGTTCTTGTGCTGAAAGAGGGATAAACAGACAGGAGAAAGGGTTATACACACCTATATAGCACACCTATTGGATGGGAAATTGCCTTGGGGAGATAAGGTGTGGTCTTTGTTCCCAACTGAAGTTATGGAACTTTATTATTTGTGAGTTTAACAAAGTATGACAAATGGCATCAGTAACATATGTGATATGAATTTCTATAAAGTTGTCTCACATTCTTGGTCATATTGTATATACAGTATGTAATGAGTATAACATGTCCAGTAAGTATAAAGTGTTTCCTAATACTGTGTATTCAACCACTATGGAATATGTATGTGGGCAGACAAAACTGAGTTGTTCTGTGTGTGAAGTAACCTCAAGTCACTCCGCAGGCACATTTTGATGCAGACCAGTTTGTCAAGACAAAAAAGGGCAAGACTAGGCTGAGAGCAGAGGGTATACCCACCATCTTCGTGCATCACCCTGTGGTCAAAAAGAGAAGGGCCCCTGCCCCCTGCACCACGATTCACCCCGGGACCTGTATCTACAAAGCCCATAGCTCATGATCACAGCGATAGTGTGAAAGGTGACACAGGTATAATAAGTATGAACTCTTAGTAACAAAAGTAATATTTCTTATTTTTAAGTGGTATAATATTTTAAATGTTCGAACATTTACAGTGCCATGTCTTCTACTTACATTAGTCTCAAAGATTGAGGGAAGAAGGGAAGGGATCACTGCCCTCCACCTGCCAGAGGAGCGCAAACAACAAAAACAAGCAAGGTGTCCCGTCATGTACCTGGAAGTTTGGGTTGGCAAAATGGAGTAAGAGAGGGACTTGAAAAACCTTGGTGGCTGTCTACTCATGTTGTTACAGTTGTCTTGGTTACAGCTCTCAAGTTTTTTTTTGTGCCATTTCCACATCTTTAGAAAATATGAAAAAATTGAAGTGAAATCAACCTCATCTCTGGAGAACAAACTTCGATTTCTCTGTCTTGTGAGTTTGCAGTCTTGCAGTTTTGCTCCTCCACCTGTAACATCACTGCCCCTCCACCTGCCATACAGTAGGTTACTAACAAGATTACTTATATAATACAGTGATATAATACATGTTTAGTATGCTTACTTATATAAAACAGTAGTATTAAACTTACCTTGTGTGTTCACTCTCACTTAAGTTCCCTTTGCCATCAATCCAAAATCAGCTGAGCTGCAACATTATACACACAGGTAATAATCAACATAATCACAAGGACACGATATGGCTCTGCTAAAAACACTCACTCTTACACGCACCAAAGTTATATTTATCTAATATTTAACTCCCTCCACCCCGCATACAATCCCGTTTAGAAGCCCCTCTTCTCTAATTCAACAACGTTGGACCAAATAGACATTAAGAGAACGGAATTTACAATTAAAAGGCTGTTCAACGTGTGTTGCTAACTTGCTTCGGTATCCTAGCTTGATCTGTTATCTGTAAACGTTCCCTAAATCTACTAATTTAGGGATAATCCACTGACATCCTTTAATACACGTGTTCAATTGAATCAGATGTACTGATAATATCCGCAATATAAATCTTTAAACTTCTTCTTACCTTTAAAAGTCCGTCATGAACGGTCTATTATGCTGCAACTCCACAGCTTTGCTAGCCTTGGCGCTAACTTCCGGGGAACGATTGAGAGTCTCCACGATCCGCCATTGCTGTAAAAAAGTGGTCCATTGGAGTGAACGGAGATGTCATAACTCTTCTATTATATGGCTCTGGCTACAACCATAGAGGCTACAACGTTAGTTAGTTGTAGTTACTGTACTTGATCCTTTAGCTGTGTTCGTGGTGATCGTGCCTGGAATATTGTTACAAATACCAGATAATTAAAATGTCGTGCTGTGCGCTTGAATGTACTAACAGATCTTCCAAGAAGTCTACTTTCAGCTTTTTTCGGTGAGTAAAATGATAATATTATACATGTTAACCCCGTTAGCAGGTGTTTGTGTGCTTGTTAGCTTAGCCTGTTATGTAGCTTATTAGCCAGCTAAGGACGTAACCCTTTATACATATATACAGTTTAGTTTATGATTCAGCCTTGTGTAAGACTTTTATACTATATGGCTATGACGCCCATAATGCTAAACGGGAGCAAATGTTAAAAGGGGTGGGCCGCCGGAGTCCACGCCGCCGAAGCTAACGGGGCTGCAGGGTGCTAGCTCGCTAGCGCGTCCCGGCGGCCGTAGCTAGCACCCTGGGGCTCCGTTAGCTTCGGCCAGCGGCGGAGTCCGGTGTCAGTACCAGATATGTTCGGCCTACCAAATATGTTCGGGTGTATTTCCGTCGCATCCGTCATCCGTCATATCCGTCATATACTCACCTCCCTCTGCTCCCAGCGCTATGCTGCCACACACCGGCCGTCTGCGGAACTGCAGCCGGAGGAACTCGGTACAGCTTGTTATGTGTGTGTACTTAATTATTTACAATTAAAAAATATATATATTCTGCGTTACTTTAGCCAACACTTTTATAATATATAAGCCTGATCATGTCGTTGAAAGCAAGTACAGATGTTCTCCCTTTTCCACAGTTCTGTGTGAACTTCATCTAAGGTAGATGCTTTGCTTCTGCACCAGTTTAGCAGAAGTCTGTTTTGTAAGACTGGTTTTGTTGCAGTCTGTTCATGCTATGTGTTTCTTGCGTAAGACTATATACACACGGAACACATGTATTACAGGGCTGTACCCAGTGTGCTTCATAAAACATTTTTGAAGCTTATTTTTTTAAAATTAAGCCGTTTCCATGTTATAACAGCATCTCGTTAAATCAATATCGGAAACAATAATTGTCTTTTTGTGGTTATTTAAATGTAATTTATGGTGCTATTAGAGTGCTTATAGACTGACCCGTTAATACAGATGCCCCCCCCCTTTGTGTGCGGTGAGCTGGAGAGAAGGCAGTCTATTTATTTTGGTGAAAAAAAAACCCCTAACATATATGGATTGAATCAGAATATTGTGTTGGATCAAAACATATTGTACATTTTGAGAATTCTTACATCTATTACAATACATTTTGAGCTTTGGACAATGTTTGGATCAAACGAGCCAGAAACAACCTTAAGCAGCCACCACTGGAATATTATTGCAGTAATATTATAATACTAGTAGCCTTATATTAGTGTAGCCTAATATTGATCGACAAATATTTAGAAATAAATCTGGTTCTGCCTGCCTGCCTCATCGCACTATGCCCTGCTGCATTACCATGTATAGTATTTACATTCATAATGATCCTTTTTTGTTGCAGAGCTTTAGAGGCTTTAAGAGACGAACTGTCAATGATGCCAACTTGGCGACCTACAAACTAGATATAGCAATCTTGGAGCTATTGCGGCTAGCTACTTTCATTGGAAAGAGTCTCTAATTTTTTGTATGTATATATTTAATATATCCATCCCAAGCTTACCTACCCAACTGAATGAATTCACACATTCAAGTAAATAGAAAGACAGCACAGCATTCAAGTGTTTATTGAGAATTTGAACTTCAACGTTAATGGAAAAAGCTCCAAACTTTTCTCTACAGCCCTTAGTATCAAGAAATCCTTCTAGTTCCTTTTACATGTGGATAGGAAAACAGCACAGATTGTTCAGAATATATGAGGAAGCCATCAGGGAAGCAGCATGACCCAAGGCAGGACTGCAGAGACAGGTTCAGCCACGACCCGAAGTCCACGACGGGCAGCGTCCGGGAAAACCAAACTTGAAGGTAAGATATCAAATGATGATCTTCATTAATTGCAGTGACAATTTAGTCTATTCTGACATTTGTTTGTGTGAGTTAATCTTTACCTATGATATCTGGTTGCAGAAGGGACTGCAATAGCCTGGATGTTGGTCATCAGAGTAGATGCCCTGCAATTCTCCTCTTTTACCTTTCCCAACATATCCTATGAATAGAAAAAGAAAATATTGTAATTGAATCACACTAGGACCACAACACACTAAATATGTAATGACACATAAACATTATTATCCAGAATAAGAAGTCTACCTGGTTTGCAGTTTTTGTAAGGCTCCAAGCATCCACGGCAGGTGTCAATGGTGTACATGACGTTGAAATCCTGCTTGTATGAAGCAGAGAACAAACTCCATGTAGCAACACCTGTGTAAAACAAGCATTTCAATAGAGCCATTAAAAATATGCATAGACACCACAGCTGTCGTATACTGCTGCACCTTCACTGAATCACTTACTCTCAAGCCAGCGAAAGTGGGCCCCTCTTCTGAAAGACACAGTGGACATTGTGTCTCTGAAGGTGGTACACACTAGAGTGAGTGATGAGTACGCTTTGTCACCTTCCTGGAGAACCACTTCCATCAGAAGGTCCGAGAGAAGACAGTTTGGCAGCTGTGAAGTATTGGTCAGACTAGATCAAACATATTTAACATCACATTGACTAGACCGTTGCCAGCACAATCGAAATACCAAGATTCTTTGGGCTTCAGGTAGCAAAAATACACATTTTTAATATTAATGTTGAATATATCACACACATTTTTCTTATGTTTTGTTATTCTTCTCCTTGAGGTAAAAAACAGCTATCAATAAAGTTAAAAAAAGCAGTGAGACATAATAGTTGGAAATTCTGCCGTGATCATAGGTCGTTTTTTAAACAAAAAACAGTTACTGCTTCACTGAAAAGATATTACCTCCAATATGAAGCACATGTCGGACTTTTGAAACTGGACCTTTGAAGGAAAATATAAGGTGTGGGTCATGTGATTGTTTAATTACATGTGTATACAATTATCAATATTGATATGTATGCATGTGTTAAATAATCTGGATTGTTACATTTCTTTATCACAAACAGGAGTGTGCCTATTGACCTCATGTTCTGTCTTTTGCTTCTTTGAGACCCTGTACACTGGCTCCAGTGCCCCTTTGAGCAGCTCTTCGGCCTCATTGGTCCAGTAAGAAAACCTCTGTCCGTGGCTATAAAAATCACATAATATCAGGATGAAAATGTAAATCAGTGTCAAAGAAACTGTTGTCTATAAAGTAACATTTAAAATGTATGATTTACCCTTCAATCTGGTACCGTTCCATGAGCATAATGCACCACCATTTCCGGATCTGTGCTATGTCCCGCTAAAAGAAAATGTAACAATAATAAAGTTGAAAATGAATGGAACCTCATCATTTGTCTACTCAATGTTAGCCCCCTCTTCCCCCTGAAATACTAACTCAGAGGATAAATACTGACCTCGGTAAACCAAAGTGGAGCATCTGTGCTGAAGTTGAGTGCATACTGTGAAAGGATAAAGATCTGTTAAGTTATGAGTTTCAAAAACTAACAAAACCCCTTAAAAAAAAGTGTCAAGGGAGGAATTTACCATCAGTATGAAGACACCACAGTCATTGCCCGTGGTTTGGTGAGGCAAACCCTGTAAGAATTTGGAATATAACAGTGATGTTCATGGTCAAATGGAAAATAAAGACATGTGAAAGCAGGTGTATGAGATGGTGGAGAAATGTACCTTGACGTCTCTTCCGAACTTTACTGTCCACTGACCTGGAGCAATGCGGTGCGCTAGGTCACTGTCAAAAGAAATGATAAGACATGGGAATTGATTTGGTGAAGGAACGCTATACTCAATATAATTCATGTTTTTGGATTTCCTTACATTGAACTATTGCATGCCTTAAAAGAGGAAAGTTATGAAAGCCACTGAACGGGGCTAAAATAAAACAAACAAAAATACGTTTACCAGCCTCTGAACAAAGCTGAACTTGAAAACAACCTTTGAACAAGGCTTATAACAAAATGAACATTATAATTCATAGCATCCTGTTGCAGACTCTTTTTCTTTTGGTTCCACTAAGGACACTCCAGACTTTGTGGAAATGGAGATATATTATAAATGAATTTGATCAGATTCAGACCCCTGGTCTACAAGATGGTTACTGCAGTATTAGAATACTATAAACTATTTAGAACTCCCATACAAGCCACAGAACGGTGGGGGTAATCATGTTACAAAAACCTAAATATGTCCTTGTAGGAATTGTCCCCAAAGCCATCTGGCTTAAGAGGGTCGAGCAAATATAACTCTCTCTTTGCTGGCTTGATCACCTGTCAACCATTGACAAAATAGCTGAAATTAGACATAATCAAACACCAGAAGAAAACCACACAGCACAACTTATGTTCATTTTGTACATGCTGGTGAGATCATTTGGAACAGACTCACGCAAAGCAAATAGTGATCTGCCTTTCCTTGCTGCCGACTCCAGGCAGGGATGAAAACCATGTCCTTGGTGGCCAATTGGTCAGCCTAGTATTTTAAACAAGGGATTTTAAGTTGCTGTATATCAATTTCAAGAAACATAGGTCTCAAGCAACAGGAACTTACTGGAAAACTGGCCAACACGTCAGCTGTTTTGGACTTCCAGGTAGGAACCACATACATATCCACGATGTATATATCTTTGCCCTATATTGATAGTTTTTCAAAAAAAATGAAATCTTCATAGAAGTATGTTCAACAACAAGAGACAACCACACTTCACGAGATTGGAGTTTCACCACTAAACAGCTATTTAGAAAATATGTGTTATTCAAAAGAAAAAAGCAGGCCAATGATGTCTGTTGAAAACCGTACATGTCTTTGGCTTCTTGTACCATCTTCAGGCACGTGTTTCCAATCTGAAACAGTAACAACAGTAAGTTACCTGTGCCATTTATTTGAGACAAGATGAAGTTGGGAGGAAAGCTCAAGTATACCTACATTTGACTCCATGCACTGAGGAAGACCCAGGCTCCAAAAGTCCTCTCTGGTCAGGCACACATCACCCTCCTTCACAATGACCTCTGCTCCAGGCCTATTGTGGTCTAGCACATAGCTGAGCTGCAAATAACAGATTGCAAAACATACTTCAAGCCAATAGAAAACATAGAAAAATTAAAATCAAATCACTGTGCATGAAGTAAACATATATCTACCAGCTTGTCTTGAATCGGATGTAGATCCTTTGCGTATTTCGCACCAGAGAGGGCATACTGGTGGTCAGCAACAGACCCCTCCGAATCCAACTTCGGTTCAGCTGTTATTAGATAGACAAAAAATAAACAGTATTATTGAAGTACCACACATGAAGTATACCTAAAATGTGTCCTTGTATTGATAATCAAAATACCTCTCAACATAGGCCTGATAAAGGGCTTCAGCTGAGACACATTCACACTCTGTCTCAGCTGAGCTCCTGTTGAGCTCAACAGGGTTGCCACACCCTTGTTGGTGATTGAGGAAACCACATAAGGGCCAAACCAGTTGCACTCCAGTTTTCCACCTTCTCGGCCCTCCTTCCTCTTATTCGCTCTTAGGACCTCATCTCCAACGTTAATCAGGAAAGATTTCACATTCTTTCCCTTGCGTTTTTCAAAAGAGATTTTCTGTCTCTGTTGTGCTATTTGGATGTTCTGGTAAATCTGAGAAAGATATGTAACAGTTATCATTTACAGTCCTTAACATACGCTTGCATTTTTTAGGAGTTATTATGTTTTAAATATTGCCATTTTATTCTCACCTTCGAGTGCAAATCTGCAATGGTTGCAGCCTTTGCCTCAAGCTGCTGTTCTGCCTCATCAGCAGGCACCAAAACAGAGGTATCATCCCTGTCATTGACTGTAGCATTTATAACACCCGGGACGCGAGGGTGCCTCCCAAACTGGGCAAAATAGGGCGTGCACTTGGTTGACCTCTGAAAGCATAAAAATTCCTTTTAGTATCTCTGTTGAGTATTGTTTCCATCTGCATTTGTTACAACATTGTACCTGCTTTGAGGTGTTAATGCTCGCCACAATGCCCCTCAGATGTCATTCTGGTCCTCTCCACAGTACTTTGCAAGTGCTTTTTTTATGTTTTGGTTTGTACGCTCATCTTGGCCATTGCACTGGGGATGGTACGCTGAAGTGATGCAGTGTTTTACACCCAGTGCATCAAAAACACCATGGTTGACCTGCAGATGGTTTAGTGTACACCAATTACCAAATTACCTGAAAAATCGTATTACATTGTTACACATAACACATACACTGTATTAGATAGATTATTGTACCTCATTGACAAATTCCCGTCCTTGGTCGGTAATGATCTTCTCGACAAGACCGAAATTGAGAAGAATATTTACAATCTTTTTTGAGACCTCAACAGCTGTTTTGTGGTAGAGCGTTTTTGCTACCACCCACTTCGTGAACAGATCAGTCGCTGTTAGAATGTATCTGCAATATAAAATGCAGAATGTTGTAAATACATACAGAATCACTGTAAATGATTTCCTTTCTTTTGAAACCAGATTCTTCACGTTTAGAACCTTTAAAGGAGGTTACACATGCTTCAGCCCATCATGATAGTACCTTTTGCCCTTAGCAGTGGAGGGAAGTGGGCCAATGAGATCCACACCAAGGACAGTCCATGCCTCGGGAACATGAATGGGATGCAGTACGGGTGCAACCGTTTTAATGACCTCGTGTTGCTGGCAGCGGGGACACTCATCAACCTTAGCAAATATCATACATTTTCAATCAGCAAAACAAAAAACTTTAGGTATAAAAATGATAGAACAGAGAAAACTTTCAGAGGAGACAGAATTAAACTGTTAAAGTTCTGAAATATGTTTTCTCTGCTCTGATGGAGCTCAAACTGTCTCACTCTGTTTCAATGTACACATACAACACATTTCTGTAGATCAATAATCAGTCAGTCAGTCAAAAACTCCCACCCATTTCTTCACGTCCTCCCGCATAGTGGACCAGTGGTACGTTGACAAAACCTTCTCGGTGGTGCGCCTTCTCCCTGCATGACCTCCGAAACCCAGGTTATCATGGCACTCCTTCAGGACATTGATAATTTGGTCCTTGGTGCACACAACCATCCTCTCATTGTCCTTGTATGTGTAGTACAAATCTCCAGCTGGCACAACAGGAACAACAAAACAATCATTTAGACATGTGTAGAGATGACATTATGATTAAAAGCTGTTGAAGAAATCCAGTGGCAAATGTGGTTTAGACGTAACAACTACAGTAATGTAAAGTGTGTATAAAAAGAAAAAGGAGAAACAAGCTGTGGAGTCCTTGCGATTTACTGAAAAATGTTGGAATTGCAATATGATAAACCATTAGAGGTATGATCACTTTTGCACCAAAAAACACCATTAGATAAATAGATAGATAGATATATACTTTATTGATCCCTATAAGTAAAGGGATGTGATGATGTCACATGTACAGGGGGTTTATACCTCATAATAAAAACGTATGTTCGTGACTTAACCATGGTCTTATTCTGTTACTTACCTTTGATCAGGTATTGTTTGGATGCCCTCCGAATTAACGCCTTCCTTTTATCATGCTTTTCAGCGGCGATGGTGAGATTGTGGTAACCACCATTGAGCACGTACTGCTTTATCTCAGCATAAAAGCTCTCCATTTCTGTCATGAAAGTTAAAATGGTCGCGGTAATTATGGGGAAGCGGAGGGATCTAGATCGTTCACACATAACAAGCTGTACCGAGTTCCTCCGGCTGCAGTTCCGCAGACGGCCGGTGTGTGGCAGCATAGCGCTGGGAGCAGAGGGAGGTGAGTATATGACGGATATGACGGATGACGGATGCGACGGAAATACACCCGAACATATCTGGTAGGCCGAACATATCTGGTACTGACACCGGCGTTATAACTGGAGATCAAGGAATGCATCGTAACGCGGACTTGGTTCGCCTGCAGCCCGCTGTAGTATTAGCTAAATAAATGATGTTGAGCAAGGCTTATTAAGCTGAACACCGCCACAATTATTCTGCTATGTATCGGTACTTATTTTATTTTATTAACGTGTGAATGACAAGCATTAAGAATAATACCAAATAGCTAATTATCTTGCAGATTGTCTCGTTTGATTATGAATGTAATGTTTATATAGTGGAACTACACTGTTTATCAAAACCAAAGTGCCACGCAGTGACTTGGTATGCATGTATTTCAGCAGGAAATGTGCAACCTAGATGACATTTACCAACACAGACTATATAGAAATATTTGTAAAAGTTGTTCATGCGTTACTAAGTGAATATGGCATTAACCCTCCTGTTGTCTTCGGGTCAAATCTGACCGATTTACTACTTTCATCAATCATGTTTTACATTCGATTGATACTGAGAGCATGTTAGCTTAGCTTCTTAGCCTGAGCTAGGACTCGAACGTCACGCTCGTTGGCAGCAGGTCCCGCCCTGTCCCGCCCTGTCCCGCCTCAGCTCCGCCTCTTTGTCCTTATTTGGAGAAGGCGGGAGTTGCCGTTACTCGTGGATGGGGCTACAGAGCTGCTAGAAAGACGGTCGAACCCGGTACATTCCTCCGTCTGCATGCGGTGCACTTTTGCTAAATGTTTAGACAAATTGCTCGTGCTTACATGCTAAACTCTTATTGCACTTATGGTAACAAGTATTCTCCACATCGAGACGGGTAAAGTTTAACCACACCTCGGAGCGCGTTCTCTCCGCCATCTCCGCAGTGTGCTCCGCTGCATGTAGCAGCTGCGTGTGTGTAAACTGCCCCGCCCCCTCGCACACAGACGGGGGAGAGAGATCTCGTCTGATCGAAAATACATAATAGACGCATTTGTTGTCTTTGCATATTAGAAACGAGTTGGCGACACTAAGACTGCGATATCATGTTTTTTAGCAATAATACATGACATATATAAATGTACTGTATGCATTCAAAAGTGCTGAATAAATGTTTTATGGACCCATAATAGTGATTATTATTTAAGTTAAGTTTTGCCATAATCATGTCTATTTCCATAATCAGGTAGCTGAACAACATTGGTAAAAAATGTATACATTATATATATATATATTTCTATTAATCATTTTCGGCCTTTCGGCATTCGGTTTTCGGCCAACTGTTTCCTATTTTCGGTATCGGTTTCGGCCAAGAATTTCCCATTCGGTGCACTCCTACAATATAGGGAACAATTTAAACAGTACATTTTGTGATATATCAGCCGGGGTGAGACAAGACAAACCACAAATGGACTACAGAAGGACACAAAAGGACACATGGTACAGTTTATATTATTCTTGGTCTTTTTTCAATAACATATTTCAAAGGTTCTGGATTTGTTTACAAATTTAGAAACTAAATACAAAACTAGTATAGTAATATGAAGATCTCATGTCAAAAATAATTGTGATAAATTAGACAGAACTGGCCTGTCTGTGAGCACATTTTATGTTGGTTTGGTTCTTCTGATAAAGGTGTGAATATCTAAATAATATACCAACATATGCTATTGTCATTAGTTGTGTCCCTGTTCTTAAAGCTAAGGCATTGCTAAATTAACAACTCTTGGCTTACAGAGTGGTAACATGAGACCCATTTTTATATATAAAATATAAATGTATTTTAATTTTATAATTTATTTTAAATATTAACAATATAATAAAATTAATGGAAATATATACGCCGGCAAATATTTAATATAAATACCTTGTGTGTGTGTGTATAGCTATTGCTTTATCTGATTAATGTTATTTTCATATGAAAGTCCATGATTATAAGTATGCAGTATCATAACTACATCTTTGATGTTTATAAAAAACCAAACCGTTTGAAAATTGGTTGAAAATTGAGTAAGCTATGGTTATTTAAATAGTAAACCATAATGTTATGAATGAGAGAACTGCCAAGTGGCAACGTCGGTCTCCATTGGCCAGCAGCGCGAGTGAGTCATCTAGTGTTTATATATATATCTATGGTTGTCACTGTCACTACCCGATCTGCAGCTCTGCCCGATCTGCAGTGCGCATGTGCGAGATGGTCCGCCATATTGGACAACTCCGTACGGCAACCCAAGAAGGACAGTTGACACAGTGGCTTTTGGCAAAGCTAAAAAAGAAAACTCGAGAGAGATGAGTTATTGTTATTACAACGTGACTTCACTATTATTTAACAACTCTTTTCATTAGGTTCTTTTATTTGGGTTTAAGTAAATTGTCAGAATAAGTGAGAAATGGATTTAACTTCTGTTAGACATATATGCCATACATTTTTGCATACATTCACAGTAAATATGTATTCAGTATGATAGCTGTTTAACAAGTTAAATTCTTTTCTCACTTATTCTGACAATGTACTTAACCGCAAATAAAAGAACCCAATAAAAAGAGTTGTTAAATAATACTGAAGTCACGTTGTAATAACAATAACTCATCCCTCTCGAGTTTTCCTTTTGAGCTTTGCCAAAAGCCACTGTGTCAATGTTGTCCTACTTGGGTTGCCGTCCAGAGTTGTCCAATATGGCGGACCATCTCGCACATGCGCACTGCAGATCGGGCAGAGCTGCAGATCGGGTAGTGACAGCCGTACAATATGACGGATGCGACGGAAATACACCCGAGCAGATATGGTTGTCACCTTTTTTTCTTTTCTTTTTTTTTATAGTTGAATGTTTGTTTTGTTTTTTTAAAAAAATAAAAATGTTGTATAAATGTTTTATTGAACATTTTTAAAACATACAAAAGCCCGGTGAGGATATCATCAACTTATCAACATAAGTGCAAGACATTCATTCTCAATAAGACAAAAATAATACATCCAATAAGAGCCAGGGGGAGAGAAAAAAGCATAAAGGCACAAAAACTTTTGAGAGGCATT